TAACTTTATAGAGTTTAGAGTTTAGTAAAGCAATGAAGTAAATCAAACCTATAATATTAAAATGTTAATAAAATTCTTGTTATTTCTAATGTTTAAGAGATTTAGGCATACTAGAGAACAGGTTAATCTGTGATTCCAATTTAAAGTAGAAATCGTGTAACTGATTTAGATTGGGATTCAGAGTTGAACTCATGAAATTTATAAACTATATTGGACATTTGAAAGAAATTAAGTCACATCGTGTTTATAGATTTAATTTATATGTTTTACTTGAGAAGGTATTTGCTAGGGATTTTTTTCTTGGGAAGTTTGTCATAATACAATTGAAAAAATGAAAATGAAAATGAAATGTATTCATTACATTAACCTTTAAAGAAGCTTAAAAATGTTTAAGGAAATTAATTAGGAGCAATAAGCCTTCTTAAGAATGAATATTATATCTTGGTAGATTTATAAATCTACCAAATCAGATCTGGAAATTGAATTTAAAGGCTTAAGGAGGAACTAGGTTTCAAAATTTGTAACGTTAATAGGTGAAATATTAATTTTAAAAACCCAGAATGGTTTCTGAATAATCTTTTTTGTGCACAAAAATTACCCTTAAATCCACATTGTCTATTTGACTGTTTTATTGAGAAATCACTGCATATGTGCGTTATCTTTCTGGATGGTCTAATTAAAAAAAAAAAAAAAATCTTCCAGTCTCCTGCAGGAATAGCCTACAGCAGCAGCAGGGCTGGTTTCATGGGTACACAACCTGTGCAATTGCACAGGTACCCACACTTAGAAGGACCTCGCACGGATTTTAATGCTCTGCTGTCACTGTCTTGAAATTCTTAATATTTTTTAAACAAGGGGCTCCACATTTTTATTTTGCACTGGGCCCTGTGAATTATGTGGCTGGTTCTGCCTGGCAGGCAGAGTTCTGGCAGCTACAGAGTGGGAGGGAGCTGGAGTTTCAAGGTTCATTACGTAGCTCCCCGTCCCCATCCCTGTGTTTTCTGAGTTGCCTCCCTCCCATCTTCAGTTGTGCCTGTTGTCCGCCAGTCCATTATTTCTCTGGTTTAACTTTAAAATCTCCCCTGTTTTGCCAAGGTTGGGGAGGGACTTTCAGAGGGCTAAAGGAGGAGATGGAGACTGGGGGGTGGAGCGGGGGTGGGGATAGGGGTGGGGAGAGTCTGTTTAATTCCTCTACTTTTGCCTAGCTCTGTGGCAGGACTCGCTCAGCTTGCTTTTTGAATCTTTCCCTTGCAGACAGTTGTAGATTGGAAAAACTTGCAACTTCAAATCAATTACCAATTATTCTACCCCCCAAATCTTTTTAACAACTCAAATCTACCGTACCACCTCTCTCATTCTTTGCCCTTGTGGGTTTGTGCCCCTTGTCCATTTACTTTCGTTTTAGTGAAGATTTTGGGAGACAGGAAACAGATGCAAGTGTTCAATCTGCCATATATGACCACTATCTCAATTTAGTTTCTACAGAAACAACTAGTCTTCCTTTTGGCATCCCATTTTTGTTTGTTTATATAATACTTAAATTATGTAATTACGATTATGAGTAGAACTGGCATAAATAAATTTAAGAACAAGCCCAACTGACACTTGGTAAATATACAACTCAGTGGGAACAGAAGTATGTGGGCATCAGTTAGTTTATTTTACAGAGGAAATGAACATTATGGTTAGGTTGCGCAATTGGATTAAATGGAGATTAGTTAACGGAGCTTTTGCTTTAAATAAAGTGAATATAAGACATTTCATAAAGAGAGTTCATTATTGAAAGTCCAACAATTTGGCTTCTTGGAAAACCAATTTAATTTTAAAGATCATCTGTCTTAAAAAATTCAAACGAGCAAATGCTTTTCCAGAACCAGGCTCTTTTCTATACTTTGACTGAGGATACTGTCAATGACTGATGAGTTCAGACTGACCTCCTAATCACAGCAATTATTTTTTGTACAATTGCATGGGCACTTTAAATTTCAAAGATGCCTTATTGGAAGGTGGGTAGACTTTAAATAATTCTTTTCATTTGTTTCTGCAGAAGTATAATCAGTTCCTTGAGGACTGTCAGAGAATGTTTCTGACATATCTTAGCACCTGAGTGCCAGAATAAGGGCTTACCATTAGGATGAAGTGACTGTGTGGGGGCTCATTTAACTTTTATAACAAACCATGACGTAGGAACTATCGTTACTCTGATTTCATAGGTGAGAAAACCAAGGCATGAGTTACACAGCTCCAGTAAGAGGTACAGCTTGAAGTGGCTTTCCTTGGCTGATTAACCATGCTGGCTAGCTCCTACCCTCGTATCCTGCAGTATTTGCCTTCAATGAACAGGTAACATGTTTTCTGGAGAGGCAAATCTGGGACTTCATGGAGTTTACAAAGTAGGTCGAATGACTGCTTGCTAATAAATGTTTGATGAATTTGTACCGCGGTTATCTTCCACTGCGACATACCACCTGGAGCAAGGCTGTGGTGAAGCCCTGTAGCTCGACATATATCTTGACTGTGAGAGGCTACTGAAGTCTGCCTAAAAGAAGCTAATAAATATGAATGACCAAATAAACTTAGGTTAATTTGTAACCTCCTTCTTCCTTAGTTATCTCTAACTGGAAGGAATCTAGTCCCAGAGAGTCAAATAATGTGAAGATTTATCATATGCTTCTGTGTGGCCACTACTGGGGCTACAGTCTCTGACACAAAGCCCTCCTTGCAATGTGTGAGCATTGAGAACACAGGCAAAGCCTATGGGCTAAAATTTGAAACAACTAGCAGTTAGAAATTTAATATTGTCTCCAAGCACTGTAGATCTCCCGGGTATTTCCAAATCCAGTGGGAAGGGAGTTACGGCCAAAGTCACTGAGGTTAAAATAATCGTAGCTGTCCAGACAGCCCCTCTGCTTTCTTTCTGGTTCACTGTCGAGGAAATCGTGCCCCAGCGACCCTATCTCTCTCTGCATCTATCTCATATGTCCCCACAGGATGCTCCCCTATCTCAAGTAGCTCCAAGTTCCAAAAACATAGGAGATTTTTGGCTTAGCTGGTTGTTTCGCAACACAAGTAATCTGGTAATTAATTGCTTGTGAACTACAGATCTATTTAGATTTTGTGGTAAGAAGCACAGAACTGGTACTTTTAAAATGTCTTAGAAAGTGAAAAATATATATGAATATAATTAATCAAGAACAATAATCTGAGTATTGAGTCTATACAATCCCACACAATCGATGACACTCTACACCACACTCCCCAGACTGACTTCACACAAACTTTTAAGTTTTAATTTCACAGTAATTTGAAAAGTGATACGTACGGTTAAGGTAAAATTTAGAGTTTTTCTCCTCTTAGTTGATCTAGAACAGGGCTGTCTGATAGAACTTTACCGAAAGTTCTAATCTGTGCTGTCTGATAAGGCAGGCATGAGTCACACGTGACAAATGAACAGTTGAAATGTGGCCAGTGCAACTGAGGAACTGAATTTTAAATCTTATTTAATTCACTTAAATTTAAATAGCGACTTATGACTCATGGTTACCATATTGATCAGAACAGATCTAGAATATGGAGATGACCTTATAACAGGATCGTCTAGGTTATGTTGCAGCCACAAAGAACCCTAAAACCTTGGCGACTTATAAGAACAAAGGTTTATTTCTTGCTTGTGTTACCCATTTGGAGTTGGCTGGGGACTCAGGTGGATAAAGCAGCCGCCATCTCACATTGGCAGTCATTATGGAGAGTTTTGCACCAGCACTTAAATGCTCTGGCCCAGAGGGGATGCATATCACTTCTGCTCACAGCTCACTGACCAGGACAAGTCACGCAGTCCCACTTAGCCAGGGAGCCAGGGGTGCAGTCCTAACTATGTGCCAGGGGCAAAGAGCCTCAGTAATGACTGCCACAGACATTAGCCTCCCTGTTAAAATGGGGAGGAGTCCTCAAGGGATAAAAAAGTAGTATTACTTGCATTTTCTTGAAAAGCGGAGAATTGTGTTTTATTAGAATTCAGTTATCCTTCACCTCCTTGATACTCATTGTGCAGCTTTATTAAAAGCAGGTAAGATGTGAAAAGTAACTCAAACATTTTGATAGAGACTTTATATAAATTATGTTAGAGCCGACAACAGTCAGCATGTCTTTTTAGTTATACATAGGAATATCATTTAATATGAAGCTCTACGATGTAAGGAACAATCAATGGATTGTTCTTTTTATATCTGGGATGAAAATGGCAGAAAATGTATTTGTTACTTTTCCTGGTGCAGAATACATATGGTACATTTTTCACTAGCAGGGAATAAGAAGTCCTTTTCTTTCTTTAAAAGTAATTTTCTTACTAAGAACATTTGTAGATTGTGGTTGCCTAAAAAAAAAAAAAGATGAAAAAATTAAATATTTATTAGCTGGACAATAGATTCTTTCCAGACTACACTGTGGAATCACAGAATCATCTAGTCTAACATGAATGGCATGTCTTGATTCTTTCTAGAATATCTACAATATTGTTTGGACACTCAAGACACAGGAGAGTCACTATCTTATATCTGATAACAACCGTCCTATAAAGCAGGAGTGACAGTATCCTGATAAGAAATGCTTCAATATCAGATATCAAGACATGGAAAGATAGCACTTGACTGCTAATGATAAATCACACCAAAGTTACAAATGAAAACTAAGCTCTGGTGAATGATATTAAAGATGATGATGATTTTTTCATATGCTGAAAATGTCATGATTATGAGAACACTATAGAGATCTAGAATGTAATTGAACCAAACTGATGCTTGAGAGAAATTTTGAACTAAACATGCAAATCAGGCTACCTAGTATAAATTACAACTAAGTCATTCTGTCCCTTAGCAAAACACAATCATATAAGCCATTTATGCAGCAGAGCATTTGTTTTCAGTTTCCAAGATCTGTCTGGGTAAGTCTACAATTGGTGGCATAGGACGAAAGAGAAGGCTACAAAGACTGAACAAAAAACATGCACTGTGGTATTCTTTATTTAAAAATTGTGAGCTAACTACAGTTGTAGTGTTCTCATTTACCATTCTGATGGCATAATAAACTGGGAGAACATTAACACAATTTCAAGAAGGCATTAAAAACTTGTAAACAAACGTACACACTACACATGCACGCACACATACAACATACACGCGTACAAAGATTATAGTAAACAAAAGTGATGAAAAAAGCTTTGAATGCTCTAAATCAAATTAAAACCCTTTGTTATAATAAACTGTGGCAATACTGTGGCTGTTATGAAAAATATTGTAACTGTTTAAAAAGCAAACGAGATACTGGCAATTTGAAACTAGCAGCAAAAAGCAGATAAGATAGATGACTGGAAGATAACAAAAGACTAAGTAATATCAAAATACTAATGTTGATACTGTGTAGGATTGCACTGAAGTAATATAAAGTTAGTTCTTAAGGAACTATTAAAAAGTCCTTTGAAGTATTAAATTGCTGCACTTTACAAACGTGGAAAAGAAAAGAGTATTTGGAATGTTACACACACACACAGAGGAAATGTATTAGGCATATCAGTTTATGGTCTTTGTTTATGACCTTCGAAAAGTTTTATAAAGAAAATTTTAAGTGCCAATGTCGTGAAACAAAGTTAAAAATTCCTAAAGATGCAAGTCTGAGTGCATTTATCAGATCTAAGAACATAGTTCAAGGTTGGGGGCAAGGCATGATTGATGTACATTCAAGAAAAAAAAAAACAACAAAAAACCACGGTGGAACCCATAATGGAAGAAGAGTTCTCTGCAGAGTGTTTAGAATCAAAGTGTATTAAACTCAGACTATCCTGAAGGAGAGAGACTCCAAAGTATGTAGAGTTCTACAGCTTTTCATCAGTTGAAATGTTTCATAGTGGCCAATAAATAATTAAAACTAACTTTTGAGCAAACTGGTTTTTTTACACAAACACAAAAACCTTTACCATGCAGGCAGAGCTGATATTCTGTAACAGCACAAATACGAATCCTGGTTTCAGAAGAAAAGCACATTAGCAAGGACTTTTTTTCACAGGTTCTTATAAAAATGTCTGAAGCTGCTAGACATCTGCAAAGAGGGGATAAGTTTAGATTTCCCTACTGATTTTGGAAGAAAGAAGATTCTATTTTCCTAAGGAAGCCAGTCATCCATGAGCAAGGAACCTGTCTTCAGAATCTAAGAAGTGTAATGTCTTTAATGCTTAAACTCATGGCAAGTTCAGATCCAGGAAAACTGGCAGGTAGAATGGGCGAAGTGAAAAGTCTGAATGTCTCCACATACTTTGGAATAAAATGTGTCTCGTAAGTTAAAATGGCTCAACTGCTTTCAGAATGAAGTGCGGCAGTACTGGAGAAGGCCCAGTTCTCTGGGATAAGGAGCTGGGAGAAAGAGACTTCCATCTCCAGGGACCCTCTGGGCTGAGCGGTGGCCACAGGGCCTTATTTTTCATGAATGCTTTCAGTTGGGGAATTTGTGATTTTGCCCAGAAAAATATATCTTTTTGGTTACTTTGTCTCTAAAATCAATTGCAAGTTACTGGTGATTTCCGAAAATGAAATCTAGCTGAACTACTATCTTAAGGTGCCAGCTAATTCAAATTAATGCCCATCAATGACGCTGCTAGGTATCAACTGTTGTTGCTGAAGAATCAACCCCCAAATGGCCTAACTAGATAATCTATCACACCAGGTGTTTTTACTATCTTGGATTTTTTGAGCTTTAGAGAAAGTCTTTGTAATATGACTTAGAAACTGCTTCTCTCTGGCTTTGTTTCACTCTTCCTCTTCTTCCTCTTCCCCTTCCCCTTCTCCTTCCTCCATGGTTTCCACAATGAGCTCAGCTGTGCAGGTGGCTTCTCCAAGACTGTTGACAGCCTTGCAGGTGTACTTGGCATCGTCATCCCCGCAAACATCGCTAATGATTAAAGAGCAGTTCCCATCCTCATCGTAGTCTATCTGGAAGTGGCGAGACTCCCTGATCGATTGGTCATCTTTGAACCAGACAACCTCAGGGTCTGGGTATCCTGCATCACAGGGAGAGAACACAAGTAGCAGAAACTGTTTTTTAGAATTTCTTGTTAATTTATGCAAGCAACTCCCAAGCTACCTCTATTGATTAAGGTGGTAAAGGAAAAAAATTATGATGTTGGCTTTCAGCATCTGTTTTGATATTTACATTTGAATATGGGCATGTATGATAAATACTAATATCTGAAACCCCACATAAGGTAATTTGCAATCATCCCATTTCCCATCCATGCGGGGTTTGCACCACCTCCCATCTTTATACAGATACAGAGTACTACCTGGAACACGGCTCCATCTCCAACTACACGCCTAGATCTATATCTTATGGGATGAAAAGAAATTCATCTTGTATAAAAGTTGAACTTAAATAAATTTAAACAAAAAAATAAGATTCAGAATAAATGGGCACAAGGGATCTTTTGCGGGTGATGAAAATGTTCTGAAATTGGATTGTGGTGATGATTTGCAATTCTGTAAATTTACTAAAAATAACGGAATCGTACCTTAAAATAAGTGAATTCTATAGTAAGTAAATTATAATCAAAGCTGATAACAGCTCTATAAAGCATAAGTTAGAGGAGCTGATAATATTGCTAAGAAAAAGAAAGCTACATTTGTCTAGTTTGAATCAAGGAAAGATAATCTACCTGTAGATAACTGGAAATTGACCATGTCCATTAGCCTCATTTTACGAATTAATCATGTTTCTGCAAAGTTTAGCATTTATATATACATGTAGTACGCCTCTAAAATATATAATAATTCTAACTGATTTGTTTTTAAATTGCGGGGAAGTATTTTTACAGGAAAAAAAATTGTAGCTCCAACCAGAATAAAAATTACATACAAGAATTTAAGAATTCTAACATTCTTTTAAGTAGAATTTTGTCTTAATCAACGGAGTCCAAACGCTTTAATTTCTCCTCAGCACTCCAGTCAAAGTTATGCAAACACCAAAGAAATAATACCAAAGAGAAAAGTAAGTACAAATATGACAATCATTATAATATTTTTTTAAAAAATAGAAAAAAGAAAGAACTTCGAAAGACTCAAAGACAATGGTGACGGTGGAGTTATAAGCAGTGGCCCAGAGCTTTCAGTAGAATTCCCACTCTGAGTACTTCCACACTAGCGAAGGAAGCACATCACATTGTTTTTTAGAATGAAAAGAGAAAAAGATTATGGTGGGCAAAGCATTTATAAGGCATTTTAATAATATAATGACACAGGAGAAAAATTGTTTTTTCACTCTTAACTTTAGGTTACTTTACCCAAAAGGCATTATCTAGTCATATTGCTGGAGAATCTTACAAAGTAGGAGGCATGGTTTGTTCTGACTGCTGTCCTATGCTATGCAGTATTGGGAAAGTTGCTAAATGAACATTTGAGCTTTATTTGGTCAGACCAAAATGGAAGATAACACTACACTCTAGTTGGCACACAACAGTCACAGGCTTGAAGCCTATCTTAGCTTGCTCTTTATCTTTCTAATTCTAGTCTAATTGCAGTCTGTGGAAACTGTAATGCCTTGTGTTGCCAACACTGCTAATTTTTCAGGTGCTATGCTAAGATCCCTTAAGGTCCCTTGAGCTCTAAAACCTCCTGATTCTACAGGCACGTTACCCCTGGCAGGCAGAGACACGCAGAGAAGAATGGATCCCTCGTTTGAAGTCACGCTGCATGCTCTCTCCCTGCACTTATAAACCCCACAGCTTTTCCCTTGACTCCATGACATCTTCAAAAGACTTAAAAGGTTTCCCCTTTTCACATATGTCATCTCACAGAATCCCCAGAGCCACTCAGGGCATTAGACTTTACCTTACAGGTGAGAACCTGAGGTTTAGAAGTTAGATCACCGCCCAAGGTCACTCAGCCCTCTGATAAGCAGCAGAGCTGCCTATTCCACATCCTATACTCTTTGTGCCAGTGTCCCTTTGAGAGCCTCTTGTGGGCGCATGCTTCACAGAAGCTTGCAAAATTCATTTCATTAAACACATTCCATAGCCAAATACGTCCATGAGAAATCACTGTTATCGTGGGTCTAGTGGCTGATGTAAGTGAAATATCAAAATGTGCCCACAGGTAAGTCATGAATGGCAGTAACCTGCAGGAGGCAGAGTGGAGGCTCTGGGCCAACCCCTCCTAACTCAGTTTTCCTTATAGCCTGACTGCTCCTAATTGCTCTCAGGCTGCCCAGAACTGACATCTTGCCCAGAGCACAGTCAGGACCCACCAGCCAGCCTAACCCCTTTTGTAGTAAAGGGAAGGAGAGCTATAACTTACCTTCAATCTTGCAGTCAAATCTAGCAGCACTTCCCTCCACGACTTCTAAATCACGAATGGTCTTAGAGAAATAGGGTTTTACATGGGGCTTTTCCTCGGCGACAGCCTCCAGGAAAGCTTGGGAGACATCTCCTGGAAGACAGGGAAGAAGACATGGTCATTTCTTCATTCCTTCATTCCTTCATTCCTTATTCTTCCCTAGTTTAAAAAAGCTGACTTAAAAAAATTTTTTTTAAGTAGCTCTAATTTAGCAAATAATGCAGCTTAGATGACTTAATCATAAGGACACCTTTCTCCTGGGGATCGGTTGGCCTGCTGCCAAATAGTTTTGGCAGAAGAGAAAACTGTGACCAAACAGGGGAAATGTTTGGACTCCCCACTTCTCTTATGCTGACACGTTGAAAATAGAAATAATCTTTAAAAAGGACTTTTGGCTGCATTTCATGCCGTTTCAAGATTCAGTCGAGGGTATTTAAGAAGGACGGAATCACACCAGCCTTCCTGATCTCTGTACCCTTTTGCCCTCCTATAGCAGCAGGCCCTTTCCTGCTCCTTAGAAGGGAGGAGCCAGGTCCTAGACGCATCTTTGACTCGCCAGTAGTTTCATTCCACTCACTTCTATTGCCTTCACATTGTATGACTGGAGACCAGGATTTGGAATCCGTCCAGGGAAAAGCCGGAACTTGGAGGGGCTCCTGTATCCTCTCCCTCCTCTTCAGGCTATTTGTGGGTCATCTGGGAGTGGCAGGAGTGGACCAGGAGGAACCAGATCCATGTGCTGCAGAATCCCTGGCTACATCAGAGCAGCCCAGCAAGTAGCTGTGCCAATGACACTGCCTTTGCACGCAAAAAAGATCTCGCCTCAGCTGCTCACCTTTGGATACCAACAGCAGTAGGCAGCAGCGGGTGGAGGGGTGTCTCCGGCCAAAAGAAGCATCTTGAGAAGATAAGTCAGCCCCTGCATGCGTCTGAAGCAGGAGGAGGCTGAAGCATTCACTGAGATGGATGGGGCAGCATCTCCAAGGCGGTGGGCAAATAACTGACCCTACTGGTCTCTAGGAGGGGCCCTGACAGTCACGGTCTACCCAGTTCAAATGACATGTTTCAGCATTATGAAACGTGCCAAACAAATATGGACTATATGAGTTAATTTTTGTTTAAAAGAAAAACACAAAGATGATAAAATAGTTTTTAAAAGTACACCATTATATGTGATTTAAATTTTATGTTTGCCTATCAGTGTAAAAGTATCACTTTTGTAATGAGAAAAAGGGAAGCTTGTAATATAGCCTTTGCTAATTCTTAGGTAAAAAATAGCAGAGATCATCTAGTTCTATTAGACAGATAATAACTTTCCCTTTGAAAATACTTAAACCTAAAGTTAAACCATTAAAAAGTAATTAATAGACTTAGTTATTGTCTGAATTTTATCTTTGTAGGTTGTATTATCAAAAAACAATCCCCCCCCCTCGAAAAAAAACCCTCAAAATGCCCCTCCATCACCCAGCCCTTCCTTTTTCGCTAACTGGTTGGAGAAAATCTTCCCAGAGCACCTTACCTTCAGATTCTAGTTTTTCTGCGTTGAGTGGGCTGGTTGGTGACCCTGTTGAGGATTTCCTGCCGCTGAGCCCTGAGATCATTGCCATAGAGGACAATCTTCCAATGGCTCTCACAGCATTGCCCGTTTTCTGGAAAATAGACACTGAGGTTGGACTCAGGCAGTGTCCCTGGTTCCAGCTGGGCAGTGGGGCTCAGGGAGAAGAGCCCAGCCCAGGAGAAGCGGCTGTCCTATAACGAGGGCCTCCGGAGTGCCGAGGTTCTGCCAGAGGAGTGAGCCCAACTTTGCTCTGCTCAGCACTCTCAGTGTGTCAGAAGATGTTCGGAGAATGGAATGGGGCCTGGAACTGATGTGTGCGTTAATGTGACTAAACAAGGTCAACATGAGACAAAAACCTTTTTCAAACTGTGCTTCAACTCCCATAAAAGGGATAGTTTATATAAAGCAACTGCAGGCTGAGACAGCTCCAAAGACTTATTGCTGATGGGGCCCAGTGGAGCTGTTTCTCGTAAAACAATGCTAGTGATAGGATTTTAATTGGTCAAGAGAATAGTTCCTACAGATCCCACAGATCCTGATTCAAGAGAGGGGGGGAAAGCATTCTATTAACCCTGTGCAAGTTATTTAACCTCTCTGGGCTTTAACTGTTTCCTTCTCTGTATAAGGAGGGGTTGGACAAGATGATCTCCAAGATCTCATTTAGCTTTGTTTATGATTCAGATACTTAAGGGATTTCGAGAAATAGTCTGGCTGGCCCCAGCACAAGTCTATGAATGCACAGGGAAGTTAGAGAGGGGGTGCTCTTCCTTGATGTACACCCAGGTAACAACAACAAAAAAAAACAAACCCGAAGAAACGGAAAGTAATGGTACTCTGCTTCTCTGAGATGAGGCACCTTGGGAGAGAGAGTTTCTGCTGAAAAGGAGGCCAGAACTTGAGATGAAAATTTCTTTGTATTGTGAAAATTCTACGAAGTATAGCGTTTTGGTCAAGAAATTCCCAATAATATACAATGTACATATGTGACTCACTCCTTTTCTAAGGTCAATGGAATGACTAAAATAAGAAACTAAGGCATAATCGACTCTTTCCATCCCTGCACCCAAAGCATCTTTCCAGGCATCCAGATGCTGTGCATCCAGAGAGCAGCTGTCACCGCAAACTGGCTGCTAAGAGAGGCAGGACACCATCCGTACAAAGGCAAATGGCAAGCATTTTACCCACAGGACCTCAGACTGTGCCAAAGCCATTTCCTTCCTGAATTAACTTCTTATATTTAAGCATTTCAGTAAAGCCTCACAATTTTGGACTATCTGTAAAGCCAATATGCTTCAGTAAAAAGACTATTTCGAAAGTAAAGAATTTTGCTAAGTAATTGTACAGAAAATTGTGGTATGTATGTGTGTGATTTAAGTAGTTACCTACTGCTGTGACCATGATCACTATTCTCTTTTGTCACATGCTATCCTTGTTGCAGATTATTTTCATGCACGTTGGACAGACATTCCATCTTGCTCTGTCCTCTGGCCTTCCGCCCTCTCAAATATATCATTGTGTGGTGTGGGTATGCTTCTGGCCCTCTGTCACCATGGGGAAACTGGGTCACTTTGAACCTAACCCGGGAAGCCCCAGGTAGAGGTGATGAGTTAGGGAAAAACATGAGATGATGACCAACCCACTTAACTGTGTGCAGAGGCACTGTGGCCCTGCAGAGAATGAAATCACTTGGCAATCTTACATGCTCTTCTGGAGGAGGCTGTTACTGGTGACATACCTGACCTGTTTGTTGTGCTAGCTGGGGTGTGGAGACACCCAGCTCTTCCCACGGGAGCTTACTCTGACTTTGGGAATGGGTCAGAGGTGTAGGAGGCAGGCAGCCCTCCATATGGAGTTAACATCAGACCAAGACACTTCTTAATTGACCAAACTCTCAGACTCCGCCCTTTTCATCTCTTGGTTCCCTGTATCCAACACAGATTGGCTTGCTCCGGGTCAGGAGCTTCTAAAATCAGAGGGTTCATTCCCAACGAGGTACAGGTGAGTCCTTGAACCACTGATTATTGTGTGACCTTGTGCAAGTCAGTTCCTCTCTTTAGACTCCATGTTCATGGACCAGAAAATTCCAATCTCCTCGCAGCTCTAGTCCACAGAAAGACTAGGATTCATCCTGTGAATATGTAGTGGAGAATACTCCCTGTGTGCCCACGGGCTCCCTAATTCCAAACACCTGGATTGTGACTGAGCAGCACAATCTTCACTTGTATACTGTGGAATAACGAAGTCTTTCCTCTTCTATTAACAAAATGACTCATATGAAGTGACCAGAACAAGGCAAATAAAAGAGTTACAATATTTCTGAGGAGGCAGCAAATTCATATTAAGAAATAGACCACACATGGGGGGAAATTTTCCATCAGATGGAGAGATATTATAGCATATAATTTCTGAAACAGGGAGGAATGTAAGAAGTGCTTAATAAGGAAAAAAAATTCAAAATAATCTATATCATAATTCAATCTTTGGAAACTGATTTATGAAAAAAAAGTTAGTATGTTATAGTCTTCTCGTTTCATGCTTTTGAGCTGAAAATTGATTGCTGTTTTATTTGACCGAGACCTTTGGAAATTTTTGGAACATCAAGACAGCAAAGTTTCAATTTTCTAAGTTCTATCCTTGTCTGGCAGAAGTCTTTTTCTTGTTTGAGGGTGATGGCCAAGGAAAGCGGTATCTGTACTGGCCTCCCTGATGCAGCACAGACGCCCTCCCCTGGGAGAGCCAGTGAGGGTGACTAACCAACCCAGTGTTCCCAGGACTGAGGGGCTTTTCAGGATGAGGGTCTTTCAGTGCTAAAGTTGATATAGTCTTTGGCAAATGGGGCAAGTTGGTCACTAGAGCCAGCCAGTTGTCTTAGACCCTATATATACCAATGGCCCCAAGAGTAGGATTTCCTGTGAGAAGTATAAACTATCCAAACGAGATGGTCAAGAGTACTCTGTGCTATATTGAGCCAAAAGCTTTCCTCGCTATGACCCTTTGGTCCACGCTACTGGTGTCTTTTAGAAAATAAAGATGGTGGTTCATGGGCCTCCATCTAATTCCTAGTCCTTCTAGCTTTGCATGCTGAAGCTCTGTTATCCTGCTCAATTTACCCTCCCTCACCACTATGTCTTTTAACAATTATTTTGATATAAATGAAAGAACATGCTTCTTTCAGAATAACTTCATTCAAAGACCAATAGTATGATTAGTCGTCTACATATTGCCGAGTGTGCAGGGATTTGTTCTCATGCTACTTCCTTCCTCCTGGGCCTTTTATGAAAACCACATCAGGATGATAACAAGGAGCCTTCTTTCATGCAGCTGTAGAGTGTTCTGGGCCACCTGGGCCTGCCCTGCTCCTCTCCTTCCATCACAGTCCACCCCACTCTCTTCCACTCCACCCCACCCTGCCCTGCCCCATCACACAGAATCTCGCTGCTCTGAGAGGGAACCCTCTATTCCAGAGCAGCTAAGGTCCTGGTGCCTGGACTTAAAAGTGTGGAAAACATTTTTCTAAGGAAGCAACATGATACAAGATGGTCAGGTGCAGCTGAACTAATACCAGTGAAATTATGCTTCGGGGACATTATGGGTCAAATGGGATTTTGTGGTCTACTTTTGTGAAACCTAACCACTGTTTTTGTGGAAAAATCATTTCCAGATGCTGCCACTTATATTAAAATATGACTTTAAGATTCCTTCTCTGAATTCTGCCCTTTTCTTTCCCCCTCATTTCCAGAAAACCTTATGACTAATAACAGCGTAAACGAGAAAAGATTTAAGCAATTAAAATATCAGTACAAATTATGGTCCCCTGACCCATATGACTGAAAAATTCCATTTGCTTCTTCTCCCATTTCCTTATCTCTCCTCCGTGCCTTTCTCCAGGGTATGGTTTACCAGCAGATGTGTCAGTGCTCCCGGAAAGCCTGATGTGATAAGGCTGCTTGTTAACCACAGCCTCATCCAGTGAGGCTCCCTCTAAGGACTGTCCCTGCCCCACCCCCACCCCTACTCCAGCCACCCTATCTGCTTCAGAAATACCACTATTTCTTTAAGATCCACTGGCCAGAAAATCATTAATAAAGCCAGTCTTGGATTTTTGTGGACCGTGTTTTGTTTCTAAGAATATCTGCTACTCTGATTTCGCTGGATCCTAATGGCGCCAGAGGGTAAAATAAGCAGCACAGGTGTTTCAACTCACCTGGCATCTGAGGATGGCCAAGAGATCCACCGAAACCCTCATATGGTGGGCTAATCAAGAACTGGCTCACAGTGTAGGGGAGTTCCTGCACACCGGATGGTAGTTCCTTACACCCACACATCTAAAACCCCTTGTTCGCCTCCGTTCCTTTGTGTGAAGTTGTACTTTTTGAGGGAACTGTGGTTTTGTCATCCTGTGTGACAAATCACTAGCATCCCAGTTGCCCCTAAAACAGTGATTTCTTTTTTTTCCTGCCACATAGACAAGGTCTAAATGCCCCAGGTCCCCTGACTGCCCCGCTAAAAGACTGCTCCTACCAGGTGAGCATAATCAAGTAAGGTCCAGTTCTCGTCTCTGCTTTCTCCTTCATCTTTGCTGTTATGCCCTCTCCCGTGTTCTAGAGCCCATGGTCCATGACCAATTTCCTGCCTTGGCAGCATTTCCTCACAAACACATCCAAGTCTGGTGTGACTGGCTCCATTCTCCTGTCCACACTCACATATATGGGTATGGAGAGCTATACTGATAGTTTACAATTCTTGGTGTGTGTTATGTCCTTTTATGTCTATTTGCTTCAGTTCCCCCATTACACTACACATTCTTTGAGTATAAAAACCAAATACCCTGCAGTAGCCCAGGAATTTTATACTAATAGTGATAATAAAAATAGTGTTAAATTCTCAGTGGCTTCAGATGACCATTTTACCCATCTGCTAACAATCAGAGGCAATTTCGTGTCATTGCTAAGACTGTGTGCTTTGCAGCCAGGCTCTGGGTTTGACTCCTGACTTTCCCACTGAATAGCTACATGATCCTGGGTGACTTTCCTAACTTCTCTGACTCAGTTTGTTGAAAAGTAGGGACAGTATAGTACTTTCCTCTTAGAGTTAAAAGAGTTAATGCATAGAAAGTACTTTGAATGTTCCCTGACACATGCCCAGCCCTCCATACATATAAGCTACTGATGTCACTTCTGAACATTTGCTACGTACCAGGCAATGTGCTAAAGGCCAGATGAAAATTAGCTCATATAATTTTCACAATGCTGTGATGCTGGTACCACTATTATCCCTACTTTACAGATGAGAAAACAAAGAATTAGCAAGATTAAGTCATTTGCCCAAGGTCATATAGCTATTGATATACTCTCTCTCTAGAGGGTGGGGACAGTGTTTCTCTTTGTAGATCACGTGCCCTCCTCCTTCATTGTAAAGAAATATAAGACCACTACACTGTCTTCAAGGAGATCATATTCTCCAGGGTTGCCAAATAGTCCTAAAGGTGACATTGCTCGTCCCAAGCCCCAGTGACATGACATGTCGGTCTTGGTCCCAGACTATTTCAGAAACAGATTTAAACATCTTTGGAGTGAGGTTGGGGCAAGTTGGGAAGGAGGATGGCTTGAATAAAGCAAATATGAGGGGCAACATCCCAGTCCAAAATGATCCCCTCATTACCTGCCATTTCCTTCTCGCCATGTACTTCTTCATCCGGTCCTTGGAGAGCTTCTTGGCCTCCATGTTCTTGGTGTCTTTCATTAGCCATGGATGCTGAAGGCACTGGGTGCAGTCCAGGCGGTTTCTAATAGAGGCAGAGATCAGAGGATTTCTGAGCAGGAGGGGAGCTCAGACACTGCTGGTCAGATCAGAAATGAAAGGTCACCTGTCCCTGGTCACGCAGGGCAGATCCCAGGACTCTGTGCTCTTAGTCCATCTCAACCACCATGATCAGGGTCACTGTACTCCCAGCCTTTCTCCTCTCTCGGCCTGGATTACACTAACTAGACCCAGAATAGGTTAGTGTTAAGAAGGCCTAACCACCAAGTAAGCAACTTGGTCTCATGACCTGCCCTAGGGGTCCAGAAAGGGTAAGTACAGACATGCTGGAGGGCAGGCATGTCTGGGAATGGCTGGCACCATATTCCAGGGTGGGGTTGTTCTTCTGGTCACATGCGGCGGGTGGAGGCTGGGGCTGTGGAGGCCTAATCCTTCTGCCTCCCTGTCTGGTGGAGGCATGAGTGAAACATTAGGCCTAAAACTGAGAATCCTTGAACTCTCATGTCTTATGGTGTGGTGGAGTATCAGGTTTTTCCTGTTAGAACTCAAAGAGGTATGTTCTCCTATATATAACTATGAGTTATGACAACCTTAGAACTGCCCTGAAACTCATTTAATCTTTCTGAAAGCTCTGGGAATCTAGAAATAGTTCAGGGTCATCACCTAATTGTAACAGGACTAATTAAGCCCAAAGAACCATATGCTAACATACATAGAAAAATGAGAATAAGTAAATTTGCTAAGTATAGCAAAATGTAGTGATCTTTAGACAAAGGGATTATGGATTATTTTAATCTTCTTATAGTCAAATTTTCTCCAATTTACATGTATTACATTTATAATAGAAGAACATTTTAAAAAGTGCTGATAGATGAAGATTTCTGGTTGAAGAAACTCTCTTAGTTTAAGAGTTTACAGCAATCTAGTGTCTTGATCTGTTTGAAATCAGTTCTTTGGTGAATCCATTTTATGAACAGAGAGGAGCCAACACAGCTCATTATTGAATTAATGAGAAAGAAGGCATGCACATAATACCTTATTTACCAAATCTTCAGTGCATGAAGCTTGGTTGACAAAGGCCATTCTTGAACCAGAGTTATTAGGAACAAGGTTTGCATCTTCCTGAGGCACCTTGGGAGTGGGGATCTCTCACACTGGAAGGGAATCTAGCTCCCCCTACAACATCCAGATTCTCCTTAGGTCTTGCTCACCTCTGATACAAAGACTGTGACAATGAAACTCTAAAAGACCTCACTGTCAAGGAGTGTAGAATGTACGCTCTGGAGCAGTTGGCTCCGAGATGGTTGAAAAGGACTGAGAGGTGGTTGGGTAATCGGAAAATCAGACAGAACCATCTAAGAAATCGTCCAACACTGCTCCTTGAGCAACTGTGCTCTCCTGTCCCAAATGTGGTATCTCCCGGAGGGAAGCAAGATGGCCAACAGCCTCAGGGGGAATCTGTGGGTCGGTAGACAGGGCAAAACCAAGGCCACAAAGTCACTTGGTGAATGCAGAGCCTACTGCTTTACCTCTGGAGTTGGGGTGTTCCTCCTCTTCTCATCCTCTGGCATACCACTTGAAATTTCAACACCAACGTCCTTGGGCAAAGCTTATAACTGCTTCTTAATGCCAAATACGACCCCTGGGGACCCCTGAAGCCAGGCCTTGCCACATCTGGCCACCTGTTTACAGAGTAGGTGAGGAACCCAACAGGCCAGTGCTCTCTCACCTGACATGCCCACTATGCCCTCCCCGGAGATAGGCCAGCTCTTACTAGACACACATAGCCCCTCTGACCAACTGCCGTAATTCAGCTGGTTCCCTTCACCAGGAGAGTCCTTAGCAATGATTGCTGTCTAGCCACACCTAAGGGCCCCTGCAGCCTCACTTCCTCTAGTCTCCCCTGCAACTGCAATTTCCATTCTTCTTTCAGTGAAGTGCTTACTGAGTGTCTTGGGTGTCTGACCTTTCTTCATGACCTGAGGCCATCTATACACCCGAACACACTGGTCTCCCACTATTTGTGACTATTTTATATATTCATCCACTGACCACTTGGGTAGCTCTAGGCAGGCCCAGAAGACAGAGGTAGGGAACCTAACAGTCTGCACTGTTATGGGGGGACAGAGATGGAACTGGGAGAGGGCTGAGCCCAGTAGTCTAGGATCACAGCCTGCCTTTGGCCAGTGGGAGAAGGTACCCGCCCATATTTGGGCAGGCAGTTCTTAAATAATTTAGATGTGAAAAACACCAAGCCAGAATAGTCTGGGGATATGATGAGGACTCGCAAATAGGATACTTCTTGTACAACTCTGAAGAGGGGCTGAGGTTTGAGTGGGGCTTCTATTGGCCACAGCAATACATGAAAAATGAAGGGGCCGTCCCTATCCACACATAACGAGCTGCCACTCTCCTTGGAGCATCCAGCCAAGTGCTGCTTTCCAAGCGAGGTTTCGGTGCTTCGTAAGATGAGTAGGGGCCCACCACACTCACGATGCCCACCCTCCCCTCCTCAGGTAAGGAGGGGCCCGCGACAAGCGAGGGAAACTCCTGCCTCTGGATACCGGTCCAGACTGGGAAAGATGAAAGACTGAAATCGCAGTTCATTACTTCATATCTTTCTTCAGCAAGTTGCTGATAAAATCCTTGGCATCATCGGAGATCTCATCGAATGCCTCGTCGTCAAAGTCCCAGGTGGCTGAGGTAACGTTGGCTAAGGTTTCGTTGTCGTTGTCGCCCATGAAGGGGGAAAGTCCACTGACCCTGGGGGATAAGAGCAGGAGAGCAGGTGAATGGGCAGGGGGTTTGGCAGGGAAAGCAGTGTGGTTTGATCCCCACAAGTGAATGGTAACTGGGTCAAAGGTGAGGGCTGGTGAAACTCTGCACCCCCACACGCCCTTGTGCCTGCCTCTTCGCCCCCTCCACCAGGGGAAAGAACAGAGAGTGTGGCTCCCCAGGCTTTTGTGGCCCAGCCTCTTCTCAGTGCTCACTGTACTTCTGGGGTGTTGCCTGCCTCTGGACCACCTCTGGACCACCCGCCTGTGAGGCTGAGGCAGTAGAATTCAGTTTACGACTTCCACATAGTACGCAGCAGGGCCCCTTCTCCCTATCTTCCATTCTTCCCCAAAGCCCAGGTTACAGCTTTGCCCCACGGAATGTTCCCCAAGGTTCCTGTGCCCTTGCTCTGCTGCACCATGGACAGTCACGTGGGATATAGCACCCGTCACTGCACCTGTCTGTCCCGCTCCCTTCCATCTCTCATCTGCATACCCGCTGGCACCAACAAGAGGGCCCAGCACACACAGGTGCTCACAGGAATGGTGGACTTTGATTCAGCAATGTGGGTTTGGTGATCCATCTACATTTGAGATCGGTGAATCTGAGGCATTTAGGCCAAACCAGAAAGCTTCCCTAAGAGGTACCAGGGCGGAGCAAAGAGCACGGCCTGTTTATTTGCTGGGTGACCTTGGACAATTCCCCTAATCTCTCTGTGTCACAGATTCCTCCTCTGTAAAATGGAGAACTTACTACTAAACCATAGAGCGGTCACCACTTCTACTTGTCTTCCACATTTTCCTTCTCCTCAAACATTTACTATGTGCCAGGCACTGGACAAAGAGATTAAAACAGATGAACTCACTCTGAACACTACCCTATAACGCAGGTAACTCATTAGTTTGTTTAAGATGAGGAAACTGAGGTACAGAGGTGGCCTCATGGTTATACAGGGCCCCACGCTGAGGCGAGCCCCACTCTTGGTTTAATGTTCTGCGGCTGTCACCTTGAAATTTTTAATGTTTGAACAAGTCACCCTACCTTTTTTTTGCTCTAGGCCCCACGAATTATGTAGCTGGTCCTGCCCTGACCCCACCTGAGCCTCAAGCCATCAATCTCCTAAGTCAAGGCTTCACTAATGTTCTGTCCCCCAAATCTTTATGAATCCATCATCATAAACAATAACAAACCCTTCTAGAGCTGTTTTGGCATTCAAGAGTCCTCAGCTTATGAAATACAGCCGTACCTGAACACTAAGTTTTATGAAACAGATATTGCAAGGAAAGCTTGCCATTGGGAGGAACCCTCTGGTAAAACCTTTCGTAAAAAGAAGGAAGCCTTCGTAATGTGAATTATCTCACCCTAATCAATATATTTGTATTTTTGAATGACAGATTTTTGTAGATGGTGTTAAAGTGTCTTAAAGCAAGATATCGATTTACATTTTAAGTAAGAATGCATGGAGATCACATTATGATGTTCGTATTACAATGAAAGAAGGATGAGAGTTTATCAGTTTCCAAGTCTACACTGTTATATGCTACTCTTTTCCCCTCTCAGAGCCTCAGTTTCCCTTTTTATACACCAAGAGAACTGGGCTAGAATTCCTAGGGGCTCCCAGCTCTCCGTTCTCTGTGATCCTGTGTGACTCATTAGAAAAAAAAAAAAAAGAAATAACAGGTCCAAAATGGAGTTATTTGCCCCCACAACAGCAGACCAAGACTTAATTGCAACTTCAGCCTTTTCCAGAAATGTGTCTTTTAAACAGTCAATATGAAACTTCCGGATTAGCACTAATGAGGTGATCTGCAGGACTAAACCCCTGCTGTTCCCTTCTCCACAAAAGAGGACCTGGCCTGAAACCATCCTTTCTTTTCTTTTGTTATGACTTCTTTGTTCCATCCTCCCTCTGCCTATAAAACTCTTCCATCTGGTATAGCCACTTGGAGCACCTCTCTATTTACTAGATGGGATGCTGCCGGAATTGGCCAATAAAGCCAATTCCGTCTTCAAATTTACTCCATTGAATTTTTATTTTTTAGCAGGTCTAAGTCAGCCCCATCAAGAAGCAGCCTGACTCCTGCTTGTTAGCCATCTGCTTCCTTCTGTCTTTACATTTTACATTTGAAACTGAGAGGGGAAAGTTCTGCAGCTCTCCAAAAGACTGCAGAAAAAGCAAACAGCCCTGCTGTGGAATGCTGAAAGGTCCCCTTCTGTAAACCTCCTTTCCTAATTAGGAACTGCAATCCGGCAAAGATAGGGCTTAATCTCTGTAATGTTCACAGCCAGGGAAAGCCTCCTCGCCTCTGGCCTCTGGTGGTCCTCCTTCCTGGCAGCCCAGCCAACTAAAATACCCACTGGAACCCGGCTGGCTCCTCACCTGCCTGAGTTCCCCCAGCATCTTCCCTATTAGAGTGAGTCTCTAAAATAAAACTGGGAATATGTGTAGAGCATGATGAAAAAGAGACTGTTGAAAGTTTAGTAATAATACTGTTTCTAAGTGGTGGGATACTGTAGAATTTTTTTTAAACTTTCTTTTTTGGATTTTTCTTTATTGCCAGAATTTGCCTAAAGATCATGCATCTTTTCATAAAAAAAAAAAAAATTAACCTAATCAACAAACGTAATAACCTTAGCATTAAAAACACAACCACTCACCTCTGTTCTTAGTCTTTTCTAGTTTTTAACTGAAGGAGACCAGCATGCCGCTCCAAAATATGGCATAAGAATTGTTTTGAGCTGAAGGCAATTAGCTCTGTCCTTCCTCTTTCTGTCTAAAAACAGCTCCAGGTTTTTGTATAGCAGGGACAGACAGGAAGCAATCTGGCTGGCTCTGTCACTTTCAGCACCATGTGCTCTGTTGAGAGCCCTAGCTCAGAAGAACTTCCAGACCTCAATCCCCATGGTAAGTGCCAGCCAGGAAAGTCCCAGAGGGCAGAGAGGCCCATAGCAGCGTGGGTGGGCGTGAAAGCCAGGACTTTGGGGAGGCTGCCCAGGGCTGACCTGCAGTTCTCAGGCCTGCTCCTCACCTGCCTCCCTGCCACATACACCTCTCCCTGATCCCCAAACCCCCTGGCCAAATATCTTCATGCTGGTGCCCTACTCTTCAAAATCATTTTCTCCCCATTTCAAAGGCTCTTCCCTATTTCTTGGTTTTAGCTTTAAAAGTAATCTAATAAACAATATAACATATCATCCGAATTATTATATTCCTCCACCAAAAAGATTTTCATTTTAAAATGAAGTACTCTTATGACCCAGTAATTCTAGCTCTAGATCACATGTCCAACAGAAATGTATAAATATATTCCCTAACACACATGAACCAGAATCCTTGCACCATAAACATAGTATGGATACGTAAATGGGATGATGTTCACACAGTGGACCACGACACAGCACCGAGAGCGAGCGGTCTGCAACTACACAGGATGACACGAAAGGGTCTCACAATCAACGTTAAGCGAAAGAAGCCAGATACGCCTTTCTGTATGATTTTGTTTATATCAAGTTCAAGAATAGGCAAAGCTAACGCATGACGTGAGACAGGAGGATTACAGTTTTAGCTGGGGAGATGGTATGTAAGAGGGCCCTGGGGACCCTCGTGGTGTTTGGTTCATGATCTGGGTATGGGTTATGTGGGTGTGTTCACTGTGAAAATGAACTGATTAGTCTAGACGCTGCTCTGTCCCTGACCGCTACGGAGACCAACAGCCCTCCTTTGCCCAGGACTGTCCTTTGCTTCAGCACTGAAAGGCTTGTATGTATCCTGGGAAACCTGTCAGCCCTGGGTGAACTGGGACAGCTGGTCTCCCTCTAGGACTGTGGGAAGTGGGAAGCCATTCGGGATTCCTTGGCCCCAGTCACTTCAATGCCAAATGAAGATCAAATCCCTGCCATGGCCCACTCCCTGGTTTGTTCTGAGGATTAAACAAGAACCTGTGTGAAAATCGGTCACTGAAGATGATCTCAGTTTCACAGTAGTGGGAAAACCAACGGAGACAGTAAGACAGGTCTCCTTGATGGCTGCAGAGGGATGCAGGGACCAAGCCAGGGCCCAGAGCAGCGGCGTGTGAAGAGAGTAAGCTGACTGAAGACTGTTTCTCAAGAGTCAGGGGTCTAATCCAGGGCCAAATATCTAGTGTGAGCACCATCCAGCCTGGGGCAGCCCCAGAAGGGGTAGGCTGGGCCCTGCTATTCCTTATTTACCAAGGAGCTAGGGCTCCAGAATCAGGTGTGGCCTTTTTTACTCATTTAGCTCCCTTTCTC